TTACCCCTTTATGAGGCTTTGCAGTACGCATTGTTAAACCATAAACACTTTCAGAGCAAACATTTTTAAAATATTCCTTGCCGTCTTTTTGGGGATTTTTACAAATCAGGGATGTCTGTCAAGGTGGTCCTTAACTTATGTTGAAGTCTGTAACAGGACACAACAGTTGTAAGGCACATAAGACGTATGTGGTGTGTGGATACACGCTTTATACTAAGACTTATAGATGCAATTATTACACTACACCCACGTACACAAAGTTGGTTTAGATTTTAGTAAGGTTTTACTGCGCTCGCAATTGCATAAGGTCATAATATGAACGCTCAGGGGTGGATGTCAACAGAGAAATCCTTACAGGGAATCAGACTTACTCTGCTCACCTCTCTAGCTTCAACGGTACAAAGTCTGCTTCGACTATCAAGGCCACCCGGAAATAGCAGTCACAAGAGTGTGAGAAACATACAAAAGAAGTAGAGGAAAAAAATGACGATAGGATTAGGAAAGAAAAAGCAGCAGTTCCCTGTTGCAGTTCAGGTACAGTTATGAGCTTGACATCGATATATCAGCCCATTTACAATTCTTCTGTGCCTAAGAACATGTTACTATCCCCCCATTAGGAATGGCCTAGTCAGTAACACGCCCCTGGTGGTAACGTAGTTGGTAAATGTTAATGAACAGAACCGATACAGCTCTGTGTGCTGCACTTTGTTTCGCTGTGTTGAGTAGGACACTCAGTGCCTTTGTCTATTCTTCATAATATTTTACGACAGCGTAACCTTTATCTGCACGTAATCATGATATTTGTAAGGTTTCCTTTTTTTTGGACAAACATTAGACAAAAACGATAAACCATCATGCTCCCAACAGGCGACGCAATGAATGAGCGAAAACTTTTTGCCTCTCTGTGCGTCACCGTAAAGTAACAGGGGCCGGAAAGAGAGATGAGAGATACAATATTCTTTATTGTTCAGACCTTGGCACATTGGTTTGGTGTTTCACCACTGACACACATGCACACACACACACACACACACACACACACACACACTCACTCACACACACACACACACACACATACACACGCACACACACACACACACACTCACACACACACATACATACACACACACAGGCTTACAGTCACATGAACAAAAATATCCTTAAGATAGACACATACTCAGTATTCTGACTGTAACTCAATGGTATTCTGATGCATGCTCTAAAGTCATATGAGTACTTATAACAGCGGATGGTTAAGATGAAAGAATTTTGATGGAAGATGGTAGAAAAACTATCTTTTGTATCTTTCTTCGTTACAGATCAGAAGCCTAGGTCTTTTACTTCTGACTGATGTTTTTATTTGAGGGAACAGAGGATGTATATATTGTCCAAAAGATGGAATGAATTAATTTTCTTAGTGCAAACTGTTATGAACACTTCTTCCAAGTAGGGTAGGGGATTGTAGATGTTGAAATTTTGCAGGCTTTCCGGATTAATTTTAAATGATTTATTATTTCTTTATCACGCTGTCTTGTGTTCCCGGCCCAAGAGGTCAGAGGTGAGCAAGAACCTCTAGCAAAGCTCACGTCATAATGTATACAAAATACTGATGTGTACGTTGTATCATATTTCACTGTCCTAACTGGGTTATTTGGTCGCTTTTAAGAACAAGCAGGCTAACCCAGATTTCGGGGGTTTCCAAAAATCTTTGCCTACACCAAAAGTGGGCGTTGCCCTAACTATAGGAGAAGTTTGGTTTCATTGGTGTGTATATTTGTTTGGTTATAGAAAAAACTCTCCTTGTCTTTTAAAGAAGCTGAACAAGGGGCAACAACTTTGCCTTCGATTTTTTTCTCAAAACAGCATCTTTCGGGATAGCCCCCTTGTGCTTAAAAGCGACCGTTAAATGCCACCACGCATACCACAGAGTGTACTCTTAATGTTGACGACAGTGCACAATTTCCTGCTTGTAATGTTTTAAGAATTGCACAGGTTTGCACATGCTATTAGCATGTTCTCAAAACTAGTCCTTGGAACTGTGCGCAGTCAGCACAATTTGTCTCCCTCAGAAACAGAAGTCGTTGAACCTAACATGGCAGCATGCCTGGGATTATGATAATAGAGTGTCAGGCTTGGTTTTCGCTCGAAACGATTGTATGATTTTTTTTCCCGCGTACCTTTATTTCAATCGTGGATCGTCGGACGATGAATGATACAGTGAATCGGTTGATAGATTATTTTTATTTACAAAAGACAAGAGAAAACAAAGCTTATTAGTGGTCTCAAGCAAACCCTTTTTCTATGCAATAAAATCACACTGATAAGACACATTTAGTATCAAAATTTGCAACATATTGGTGCTTTCTCTCATGTTTTCTCTGTAACGTCGTTCTTTTTTTTGTCTATGGTCTAGTGTGTTATTGCTCTAAAGATTTTTGTATATCGATGTTTTTATTTTTGAATGTATCCCCCCCCCCCCCCCCCTTGGTTTTTCCTGCTGTGTATTTCAAAATTATATGGGTGTTGATTCCTTTCTCATATTTTTCAACTATAATAATATGCTCCTTAAGCTAAAGGAATTTATCACTCGTAACTCCATGATATTTTACTGATTTTGAAGGGGGGACATTTGTTTCATTTATCAGCAGATCTGGGCATAGTTTTTTGTTAAAGAAGAATGCTTTGTTTGTTTTTAAACTTTAAATCCAAGATTTGGAAGAGTTTCATGAGGGCATTTATTGAAAGTGGTATTCTTTTTTGCTCTCTTTCCGGGGGTAGGGGTGGGGGGTCGTTCTTGGCTTTGATCCACAATGCTGTGTCATCTGGCAACTGTCCTATACTTGTCCTGGAATAGTTTTTTTTCTATTGCTCCTGCTGATCTAAACTATTGGGCGTCTCAGCTGACATAAGTAAACCTTTTCTCGCCATGTTACATGTTATTCCTCTAGGGGACAATGCTAGCTGCTTAGTTTTAGTAAGAGTATTACGGCATTTGCAAAACAATAAGGTCATATAAGTGCCGACGATTAGAGGTGTTACAAGACAGTAACAAACACAAAAAAGGAGTGGACATAAGGACGATAGATGTTTGATAGGAAAGAAAAAGCAAAACAAACCAGAGCACCCGCCAACCTCACACCAGGTTGCTTAAAGACCTGTCTATAGGCAAAGTGAAGCGTAAAGAATGTAACATTCTATCATTATTGTATTTGTGATTCGAAGTCCAAACCTTATATAAACGGACTGTTCAAAATTCAAACGTTTAATCCATAACTTTTCTATTTCTACAACAATAGTTCTATTTATTTGTCTTAGTTTCAAGCTCTCAGTGGCATAATATGTGAGGCAGCGTGGTGGAATCAGGCTCTGGTCAAAATAATCAAAGGGAAGAAACTTGCATTTTTCCACAGGTTTGTTAATTTTGTTCAAACTTTTGTTTTTTGACTCAACACCTTTCATGCCCATTAAAGAAATCATTTCTGTGTGGACTTTTCTGAAAAACGTTGATTAGAGGTACAAAAAATGTAAATTTTCAGTTACCTCGGACTCTTACGCTAAGGAAATAACTAATCTTTGGTGGACATTGTCTCACTAATTTAACCTCTGAAAACAGGTGACCCCCACCTCCTTCATTCGCAAATATCTCAACTTGTATTCAAGATAAATGGATATTGTTTTCATCCTAATAAAGACAAGTGAACTAGCTTTATGATGGTACGAATAACTCTACATGCCCAAAAATTGACGAGAGCCTGATTCCACCACGCTGCCTCACATATTCTCCAGAAAAAGTGATCTAACTCGTGCAGATGAGGGTGGACAATATTAATTTTTTTTTTACTGGCAATATTTAATGGGCAAATTATTTTAAAATCAAAATTTACGTGCTCTCCCTGAATTGGGGGGGGGGGGTGTTACATGGTCTAGAGGCACAAAGCTATTTGATTGGTCTATCTCCGTCGGAGACGTCTCCGGATAGATACTGCGAGCTTCGGCAGAACAAAGTCTGCTTCGACTATCAAGGCACCCCGGAAATGGCAGGTCACAAGAGTGTGACAAACATACAAAAGAAGTAGAGGGAAAATGACGATTGTAAGGATTAGGAAGGAAAAAGCAGCAGTTCTCTATTGCAGTTCAGGCATAGTATGAGCATCACATTGATAAATCAACCCATTTACAATTCTACTGTGCATAAGAACATGTTAATATCCCCTCTTTGGGAAAGGCCTAAAGACACTTCAGTCAGTAGCACTGCCCTGGGAGGTGATCAGATTCTATCGTGGACCAAGATACTATTATTTTTCAATGACTTTCTGTATTAGGAAAAGTTTTCATCTTTTTTTTCTGACAAGTATCTCTCGATGACTGTGCACTTTCCGTTTGAGCATGGTCGACTGACGGTTCCTCTGCACCGCAGAGACACAAGTACATATGTACATGTACACACGGAGAGTTGAGAAACGAGGAACCAAGGCCAACTTTTTAAGAAATCGAAAAGTAGCACACCGCTATCTCTTACTGAGTCCCACTATTCAACCACTATCTTTCAGTCTCCCCCCCTCTCTCTCTCTCTCTCTTTCTCTCTCGCTCTCTCTCTCTCTCCCTTTCTCCCTCCCTCTCTCTCCCTTTTTTATTGACTCTTTATTTGTCTCTGCCCCCTCCCTCTCTCTCTCTCTCTCTCTCTCTCTCTCTCTCTCTCTCTCTCTCTCTCTCTCTCTCTCCTTGTCTCTCTTTGTATATAGATATACCAAGGACAATTCGTGTTTCCAGTTTCTGTCGCTGGCGAGAAAGATAAGCAAATCGTCGAACACGCCATTTTTGTGGGATTTTTCTTGTTTTTAAAATGTTTTGTTTTGTGGGTTTTTTTTCATCCATCCAACAACAGCCTTGCCCTCGCCTTTCTGTCCTTAAAAAGTCTTATCTATGACATGTTCCCAGCTTTGTCAAATATAAAAAGGGAGATCTCTGTCTCATTCTTTCTCTGCTACCACTCCGCATAGAGTCAGAGGAAAAACGTCCTGATTTCTTCAGCATGAAGACGTTCTGCCTCTTGCTGTTGGCAGCCCTAGCTGTCGGGGACTTGGCGTACTCAGAAAGTGATCCACAAACAACGCCCGTGTTGCCGTGGTGGAAGACCACCATCATCTATCAGATCTACCCGAGGTCGTTCAAAGATTCGGACGGAGATGGAATCGGAGATTTGCCGGGTAAGCAGATTTGATCTAAGATCGTGAGGCAGCGTGGTGAAATCAGGCGCTCGTCAAAATAATGACATTGAACAAACCGGCATTTGTTTTTTTGTCTTAATCTCTTTTGCAATTTTAATCAATTTTTCCCCGCTTAACATCTTTAACTTCCATTAAAAAGCATATATTTGTGTGGATTTTTTAAAATTGAAAAATGTTTAAATGTTTTCGTTTTGTTTTAGTATTGGTCTTACGGCGCTCGCAGCTGCATAAGGTCTAATGAACGCGCGTTGGTTAAACGTACAAAAGAAATGTAAATATTAAGTTTCCAATCACTCTCAAGATGTGAAAGTAGACTTGTTGACCATTTTGTGCAGAACATAGAGGAAGAAGTCTGTCGCAAGTATAATGTTTTCTCTCTTAAAATTCCGTTTCAAGAAACAGCTGAATATATCGCCAACCTCCCACGGTATTGGAGCAGAAGAGTTATAGCTTTGTTAAAAAACCCATAGCCTTCCATTTAATAACAATCTCTATCGGTGGAAATTAACTAACTCGCCCTTATGTGAGAGGTGTAACTCATGAAATTGAAGATGAATTTCACTTTATTGTCTATTGTTCACACTTTGTCCATCAAAGGAAATTGTTAATCCCTCCCAGCCTGACTCGGCCCAGTGACAGAAATATGGAATGCTTGACCCATGATAAGAGATATGTGCACGACCTGTACTTATTTATTATGGAAACTTTACTCATCAAATGAGTGTTTTATGTGATGTGATGTGGGCCAATGGCCTTGAATACTGAATAAACTTACTTACTTACTTACAAGATGTGAAAGTAACTAAACTTTGGGGGCTATTTTCTCGTTGATTTTATTGCTGATACCAGGCAACCCCACCTCATTCAATCGGGAATATCTCGTCCTCTATTCAAGGTAGATGGGGTATTGTTTTTTCATCGAAAGCAAGGTAAATGAACAATCTTTAAGATGAAGATGATGCCAATAGCTCCACATTCCCCAATGCCAGATGTCATCGCACCGTGACGCACAATATGCTCCTCTTCTGCCTATGTCGATGATGGAGGCTCTCGTGGCCTAGAGGTTAAGGGGTTCGCCTCTCATTCAAAAGGTCCCGGGTTCGAATCCGGGTAGCGATGGAAATATGTTCTTCTCTAGAATTGTCTCCTTTCACCTCCACAGTCTCTGGTCTGGCAGTGATGGAGTTAAGGCCAGTTTATTTGTCTTGCTTCTGAAGAAAAACAAATAGCTATCTATCTTGATTGTAGTCGAGGCCCAGAACAACATACTCGGAGAACCTAAACAAATGGGTAAGGGGGAAAGATCAGGGAAACACTATGTTGTTCCGGTAGAGTATGAGTATGAGCTCTTTGGTAGGACTCTTGAGTAGGCATGGGAGTGAGGGGGTTAAGGTTATATCAATAACTCCCAATATTGACGAGCGATTTATCACTTTGTGTGCTTACATTATTATTTCTTCCTTGCTTCCACTATCAAGATACAAACCATATACAATAGTTGTTTAGATATCTATTGTTCTACCTCCCCCTCCCCCCACTTGGGCAGTGCTACTGACTGAAATGTCTTTAGACCATTCCCAAAGGGGGATATTAACATGTTCTCATGCACAGTAAAATTGTAAATGGGCTGATTTATCCATGTCATGCTCATACTGTGCCGGAACAACATAGGGGGAGCTGCTGCCTTTTCTTTCCTATCATCATTTTTCCTCTACTTCTTTTGTATGTTTGTCACTCTCTTGTGAACTGCTATTTCCGGGGTGCCTTGATAGTCGAAGCAGACTTTGTGCTGTTGAGGCTAGAGAGGTGAGAAGAGTAAGCCTGACTCCCAGTTTGGACTTCTCTATTGACATCCACCCCCTGGCTCTCTTACGACCATATACAGTTGCAAGCGCCGTAGAACCTTACTAAAACTAAACCATGTTATTAGAATCTCAATAAATCCAGCTTCTTACCCCCCTCCTATCTCTTTCCCCTCATGTCCAGGCATCATCTCGGAGCTCCAACACTTCCAGTACCTCGGAGTGGAGACCCTGTGGCTCAGCCCCTTCTACAAGTCTCCACAGAAAGATTTCGGCTACGACATCTCCGACCAGAGGGATGTGGACCCTATGTTTGGCACTATCGATGACTTCCGGAAGCTGGTCGCCGAGGCCAAGAAACTGGGTTAGTAAAAACTGTGTGTGTCTGTGAGGTCAAGAAACTGGGTGAGTCTGTGTGGTCAAGAAACTGGGTGAGTTTCTGATAATGAAAACTTAACGTAAATCCGTCGGTGCCCTAGTGGTTAGGCTCTCAGACTCGCAACCGTAAAGTCGTGACCGTTGGTTCGAATCCCGTCAGGGGCCCGACGTTGTGTCCTTTGGAAAGGCACTTTACATGAATCTTCCACACTTAACATAGGTGGGAATGGGTACCCGGCTATAGACAACGAAAGATCTTGTCAGTTTGTTACTATCTGAGCGCATAAGCAACTGCTAGCACTGTATGCTTTTCGGGAAGCTGAGAATGTTTCTGAGTGTTCTATGGTCTGCTGTGGTAAAACTATAGCGTAAAGAGTATAGAGCTGCTTGCTGTTGAGCGGGGGTATGCGCTATACAAATGCTATTTATTTTATTTTTTAATGTTAACATTGTGATGCAACATAAACATGTCTTCCTCTGCCAAGTGAAAAATGGAAAACAGACTACAGCGGTAATTGTGCACCACTCATTTCACTTCTCGGTTTGTTTGGGTCCTCTAAGTGTGACACTTATTTCGGAATGTTTTTTGTTCGCTTTAATTCTTGTTTTGATTTGATTTTAGTCAGCAGTAGTAACTTTTTATTTGGTGAAGAAAGGCAGATAGGACGCTTTATCTACACGCCACACCCCACGAGACGACACTGGTTTTATAACATGTTTTTTGGGTGGCATAAGACAAAACGTTGGCATTCAGCTAAAGTAATTACAGAGGCACTAGTGTGCTTACCTTATCTGTTCAAGTTCACCGCCCGTTTGCTAAAAAGAAGATTGTTTTTACAGTTTCAGGGCACAAGAATGTAGACAAGACAGTTGCACAAACATGATTTGGTGCCCAGGCATCCGTACATTCTTTGTTTTAGTAAGAGTTTCACTGCACTTGCAACACAATAAGGTCATATAAGTGCGGAAGATTAGAGGTGTTACAAGAGAGTAACAGTATAAAAAAGAAAGGGGAGAGATCAGGACGATAGATGTTTGATAGAAAAGAAGGAGCAAACCACACCAGAACACCCACCAACCACCCACTTACGTACATACATCAAAATAGGAAGTACCAATGTTTTTGAAACCGTTGAAGCCTTCACCTCTGCAGTAAATGATAGGCCCTTTTTGATTCTTCAACCTTTCAGGTTATAAAACACTGTGACCTTTGGAAAAGGATATAACCCTGCTTTTCCAAGTACATCCACCTACTGCAGACAGTCGGCAGTTGCTAGAATTTTTTCACACACACACACACACACACACACACACACACACACACACACACACACACACACACACACACACACACACACACACACACACATAAGAAGAAGAAGAAGAAGAAGAAGAAGAAGAAGAAGAAGAAGAAGAAGAAGAAGAAGAAGAAGAAGAAGAAGAAGAAGAAGAAGAAGAAGAAGAAGAAGAAGAAGAAGAAGAAGAAGAAGAAGAAGAAGAAGAAGAAAAGAGCAACAACAACCACATCAACAACAACAACAACAACAACAGCAGTATTAGCAACAACAACAACAACAACAACAACAACAAAACAACAACAACAACAACAACATCAACAATATTATCTTACGCTGGTTTACCGTTTCCTCCTATCTCCAGGTTTGCGAACCATCGTGGACTTTGTTCCCAACCACACCAGCAATCAGCACGACTGGTTCCAGAAGAGCATCAAAAGGGAGGGCAAATACACCGACTATTACGTGTGGTCAGACGGGAAAACTCTGCCTAATGGTACCGTCGTACCTCCAAACAACTGGGTAAGCTTCTTAGTTTAGGTTTTAGTAAGGTTATACGGCGCTCGCAACCGCATAAGGTCATATGAGCGGCTAGGGGTGGATGTCAACAGAGAAGTCCTTACAGGGAATCAGACTTACTCTGCTCACCTATCTAACCTCAACAACACAAAGTCTGCTTCGACTATCAAGGCTCCCCGGAAATAGCGGGACACAAGAGAGTGACAAACATACAAGAGAAGTAGAGAAAAAAATGACGATAGTAAGGATGAGGAAAGAAAAAGCAGCAGTCCCCCCTAGGTTGTTCCGGCACAGTATGAGCGTGACATTGATAGATCAGCCCATTCACAGTTCTACTGTGCATTAAAACAAGTCAACATCCGTCCTTTTCGGAATTGCCTAAAGACGCTTCAGTCAGTAACACTGCAATGAAAAAAAAGGGGGGAGGGGGTGTAAGCTTGGTAGATGGACATGGCAATTCAAAATGCTTTCCATATAACATTTGAGAGACCAGCATTTATGGATAGTTGTATATTTTTTAAAGATAAAACGTTTTAACAACGTGAAGTTATCTCAGTCTTCTATAGATTAATGTTAAAATTATAAAAGGGAAGTTCATGTACAATAATACAATATACTTTAATAGAAAAGATTAACTATTACATAATGTGTGTATTTATCTCAGTCTACTGAAGACTTTAAGACATTAAGACATTAAGACAAGCCTATAGTAGACTGAGACACTACACATGAATATTGAAAAACACTTTATCTAAAGTGGATACTACTTACACCGTCCATGCATTTCCCTATTCGACTTAAAGACTATAAATGAGAAATTATACTCATTATAAAACGCTTTACCATACAAAGTACACAACTGCCCATGTATTTCAGCTGAAGATTTCAAGATAAGCCGCAGGGGGCGGACACACTACACACATTGTTAAACACTTTATCTTTAAAAAGTATGTACTGTCCTTATATTTATTATT